TTGTCGAACATAAAATAAAAAATAATAAAAAGTGTGTGTTGCAATTTTCGCTGTGTTGTCCCATTTTTGTTTCGCATAGAGATTGTTTTCAAATTAGTTAAATGTTTCTGTGTTTAAATCTATTTTCGTTGCTGTATTTGACTATTACAATATATTCTATAAATTACTTTGAATGTTAAGGTATTTAGGAAGACTTAATAGAATGGGATTGTACTGGCAAAGTTTAATATAAAAAGAGCCAATATGACATAATATACTTTTTGTATAACCCTATTAACCCACTTAAACCAGGTAACATTTATTGTTTGTCTTACTTTTGTTAGATTGTCCTGTAAGAAAATAAATTATTTGTGCCAAATTCTGTGTTTTATTCGTCACTGAAAGTCAAAAATCATTTATTCATATAGGTAACACAATGTACACTTATGAACGTCAAAAAAGAACTATACATTATATGCTTCTAATTTTACATTTACTGCCAGTTCTTAAATCAAATCGTAGAACGGAAGAGAAGAACTGGCAATAAACTCTCCGCCACTCTTTTTAATCGCCAATTTTTTTTACACTACACCGTGTAAACTTAGTCAGATATTTTGCATACAGTTGCACTGACTTTTTTATGAATGATGTGAATACAGTTAATGTTCAGAATTAATTTGGCGCCGGTGAACTGGACCTGCTGCTTTCCTCGCTCAACGAATACAGTACCGCAATACAGTGAGGAAATGCTACCAGCATTAAAGGTACCACAGGGACCAAACTTTTAAAATTAATTAAAATTTTCTATTACATATTTAAAAAAAAAATTTATAATTATTACTATGTAGGTTAAGAATATTGTTAATATAAATGTCTAGTTGTTGAGATAATTATGATTCGAAACGTGTATAAAATACTTGCTATTTTGAACAGAAATTCGTAAAATGAATGTTACTAAGGTCAGCCGTCGGCAATAAATTCCCTGATGTGACTGTACAAAGGACCTTGTAATCCGGACTCTCTGTAAGACCGGCTCTCTAGGGACCATAGCTATTATGAGAAACGCATACAAAATCGATGTTCAATGAATAACATAACCAGGAGATACATAACGATGAAACTATTAGTTTTATCATTTAGTCGAATGTGTTATAAAACATAGTCGCTGTTACTAAGTTAATTTTATTTCATTTACTGGCTGCCCCCGCGAACTTCGTTTCGCCTTCATATGATTTTACTTAGCGTACCTTTTTAGTACCTACATACCAACATATGGTATATCTTGCTATGCTACCCCATAGAAACTGATGCGTTTACAACAAAAAGAAAAATTTGTTTTTAGGACGGATAACGCATATACCGTGCAATTTTTCAAGTTTATTTCTCCATAAAAACTTTTCTCAGGTTAGCCGTCTTAGAAATAATGCTATTTCCAGCGGAGAAGAATCCACCAAAAAAGAGATAGCTAACATCGGTCCAGCCGATCTTGAGATATAAGTGGTATAACTAACATGACGTTGTTTTATATATTTAGATATGCAGATGTATAGTTGTTTAATCGTATGATGCCATACGATTTTATTGCCCTTAGTTAATTTATTATTTAATGTATGAGACAGCTAAATAAAAGCATATTCTTCCTGGAACCAAGTTCAAACCTGAAAGAGGTAGCTTGCAATTTGTCGTTAACTTTGAAGTTATTACGCCAGTGCCAGAATCTTTATTGATTTTAATAAGCTTCAAATACCTTTTTAAAATTATGACCATGAAGCAAGTATATAATGTTCGTGTCATCGCTAAATCTAATATATAAAATTCTCGTGTCGCGGTGTTTGTGGGTAAACTCCTCCGAAACGGCTCGACCCATTCTCATGAAATTTTGTGTGCATATTGGGTATGTCTGAGAATCGGACAACATCTATTTTTCATTCCCCTAAATGTTAAGGGTAGTCCACCCCTAAATTTTTATTTTTAGATATTTTTTCTATTTTAATTTTTTTATGATACGGCATTAAAAATACATACAACCCCTAACTTTCACCCCTCTACGATCAACCCCTATTTTTTTATTATAAATGATATACATGGCAAAACGACGTTTGCCCGGTCAGCTAGTCTAATATATAAAATTCTCGGGTCACTATGGTTGTTCCAATACTCCTCCAATACTCCAAAACGGCTCGAAATTATTCTATTAAGAATAAGTCTGACAATCGGCTACTATCTATCTTTCAAACCCCTAAGTGATAAGGGGTGTTCACCCCAAAAACATTTTTTTATTTTTTAGACAAAATTTTTTGTTTTTATTTTTTTATGATACAGTATACAAACATACATGCAACCTACAATTTCTACCACCTTACGATCAACCCCTATTTTTTATTAGTGTAGAATAGTTTTTTATGGAACTAAAAAAATGTTTCCTAGTAATAATATGTAACATAGCAAAACAACGTTTGCCGTGTCAGCTAGTAATATATAATATACGCAGATCTAAAACTTGTATTAAAACACAATCATGTCGCTTTTGGAAACCAATTACATAGCAGGTTTTGCAAGGCATTTGAATAATATAGAAGGGGTCATTAACCTCGGTCATTAATTTACAGATGTTCAAACGAGTACAAAGTGGCATTTTATTTAAATGAAGGACCTTTAACATCAATGTGTGATAATGGAATTTGCGCTTGGAGAGATTTTGATACCCAGTTATAATTGCCTTTAAATTTGAATTTCGAATGTATCCTTTTAATTATAGTTTGGATGGCATTAATATGTCGATTCTCAATTGTCTATCACAATAAATTTTAATACTGGCTGAATCGTGGACCTGATTTTCCTGCCTATGTTCGCAGATACCACTTGCTCGTACTTTGAAGGTACACTGTAATGAAAGTAGCATGTGTCAGGAAATCATCGGTGCGTTACCAACCGATCACCTACTTACATATAAAGAAAAAAAGTGCGTGCGTACAAAGTACACATGTCAGAAGTGAAACTTCTTTGGCAAACAAATTTTAAAGTCTTGTTCATATTTATACAAATCTAAAAAAAATTCGAGACTTAGAGGGAGCGAAAAAGGAATATATGTTAGGAATTTAATGAATTTAATTATCATTAAAATATTAAGTGTCGAAAACTAATACAAATAATACATTTTATTTTTTAAATTTATTTCTTTGAGTCATTTGACATTTCAATAAATTATTTTGCATAAAATATAAAATACTAATATTTCATAAATTCTCTTTACGAAATTTTAATTTTGAAAATAGAATTTTTATAAGGTAATTCTTCGCCCTTCTCACTCTCTCTCTCAATCGGTCTTAATCACTCTCTTCTTTTTCTTCGACAAAAACGCTGCACATCTTCGTGACGTTTTCGTAAAAATTTACCCTCATGCGCCTAAAGAAGTTTCACTTCAAAAATGTCAAAACATTCTCTGACTTCAGTTTCAGTTCTGAGTAAAATTAAATAATACAGTCACCTCGACGGCCGTAGTTCAACTGAGTGTGTTTAAGACACCGCCGCGCACCACTTCTTTTAAGTATTTCCCAAGAATTTTGACTTAAAAATAACGTAATTGAATTTTTGGTGAGCCTCCTGCCCGGTTCTCTTTAAAAAAAGTCATATAGATGGACCAACATTAATACCTCATAAAATGTTATTTATCGTCAAGAATAATTTCGCCCACATCTTTAGGATTCATTTTAGGCGTTACAAATCCTTTGAGTGTTGAAATTGTTTATTCCGTAATTGAGGAACAAATATATAATAAAGAAGCAGTTTAAAATATAACGTTAAAAATAAAGAAAAATTATACAGAATGTGGCAGATATTGGACATTTTCAAAAGTGGAACGTCCTCTATCTATATAATATTATCCATTCATTATATATGTAATATGTATTATGTAAAATTAAGTCTTCCATCGCGTGTGATTGTCTGTTCGCTGTTAACTCAAATCTATTGAGGTAGAAGAAATGGTCGCTTGGAAATAGCCATAACCCGGACGCCGTAAAGAGTCGCTAGTTATCTTAAATATGAGAAGAAAATGAAAAGATGTATGTAATATACACGTAGTATATTATTGTATTTTGTTATATATCTTAATCAAAACTTGATTATTCTTATTTGTAATGAAGAAATTACAAATGTAATTAACAAATTAAAAAATCCTATGCATCTACTATGAGTAAACTATATTTTATTAAAACAATACAAAAATAATTATTGTAAAGAAAATGTCGGGGAGAATAATTACTATGTCGGACGAGCAATATAGTAGAAAATAAACACTGTACAAAGATTAAATGCTGCGAGAGTGCCGACTATTTGTATTAAAGCTTATTTTTAATCAACACCCGGCGTTTATGAATCTAACAAAACTTATGCCTTAAAGCTTAAAATTGTGACGGTTGATGATTAGCCAATTGATATTGTATTTTTATCTTAAATGTTAATTTAAAAAATTAAAAGTTATATCGTATTTATAAATCAAGGATTTAATAAAATATCAGTAATTATTTTATAAAAAGAATGCTTTGTTCCAAATTGACGACTCATTGGTCTAGTGGTTAGTACCACTGACTGCGAATCCATGGGTCCCAGGTTCGATCCCCGGCTGAGACGAACATCGATGTGATGTGCATTTAGTGTTGTGCTTAGGTCTTGGGTGTTTAAATATGTATTTATATGTCTATCTATCTATAATATGTATGTATATCCGTTGCCTAGTACCCATAACACAAGCTTCACCAGCTTAGCATGGGACTAGGTCAATTGGTGTGAATTGTCTTTAAAAAAAAAATACGTGTTCGTTGCTTCCATATAACTTGATTAATTTTTAAAAATCGTCGTATGTTGAAAAATAATATGTGTACTTCAGATACAATACAATACGGAACCTAAGCATAATCGACCGTCACCTTTTTATTTGGGCATCCAAAAATGGGTATTAGTCCTAATTTACCTGAGAATTTACATTTGGGGATCATGCACTTTGAGAGACGGTCGTAAAAATGCAACTAATATTTGTGAATTTATTTTTGTCTTGTATCAGTAGTGTTATTGGAAACTTTTGTTATTGGAATACTGGATGTCCTTATAAATATTTATCCAGTGAGACTCCATATAACTTAGTTCGGGGTGATATACGAGACTCTGTTGTCAAGTTGAATGGTAAGTGAAATCCATTTTAATATCTTGTAATTCAGTTATTTGTATGCTGGTTCGTTTGGAGCATATTGCGGTTAAAAGATTATTTAAAAGAAAAATAGTAGAACACTGATCTTTCTCTCTCGATAGACAAAGGTTTAACTGCTCCACTTAAATGCAGCCTTTGATCGTAGAAAAAGATAGATTTAGATCTAATATATAAAATTCTTGTGTCACAATATTCGTTCCCATACTCCTCCAAAACGGTTCGACCGATTCTTATGAAATTCTTTATGGATATTCAGTAAGTCTGAGAAACGGCTACTATCTATCTTTTAAACCCCTTGATGATAAGGGGTGTCCACCCCAATTCTTTTTATTTATTTACTAAACACAATATTTTGTTTTTATTTTTTCATGATACAGCATATAAAAATACATACAAGTCTAATTTTCATCTACCCTCTACGATCAACCCCTATTTTTTATTTGTTAGTTAAGAACTTATAACTTGAACTCTGAGGTTTATTTATATAGAGAAAAATCACAGAAAAACCTAAAAAGTTTTCATTCCGGAAAACCAAAAAAGTCTCTGGGGTAGCATAGTAAAATGTTCCATGTTGGTATGTACTAAAAAGGTAGGCTAGGCATTAAGGAGAAAATAAATTCGCGGGGGCAGCTAGTTTTTATATATACATGTGTTTAATCAACTCGCATTTTATAAAAACATCATAAATACACTTGCAATACAAGTTAGTTATCGGACGTCCTGTACACAATACCTGCATCTTAAATACAAAAATAAAAACCATTCTTGAATCCACACAAAAAATTCATCAAAATCAGTGCAGCCAGTTTAGTCCAGTTTAACACACGAACAGTAGATTTGTATGTCTAAAAATTAGTTTATAATATTGGTATCTAATACATTAAGTTTTTGAATAATACAAAAATAAACATTTTCCTCCTTTCATTTTTATTTATTTTTATAACGTATATAGGTTGTGAACCAGTTAGTGTTTGGGGAATATTCAGACATGGAAAACGATATCCCGAGGCGACCACCGGCAAAACTATGCAAGAAGCTGTGTCGTTACGACAAGATATTATTTCGAGTTATCAAAGGGGACACAGTTCATTGTGTGCTCAGGATATAGAAAATCTACACAATTGGCAATATGACCCAACAATTTTCGAGGACAAACAAGATATCACAGAAGAGGGCCGAAAGGAAATGTTATTTTTAGGGAAGCGATTTAGAGAAGCATTTCCTAAGATTATGAACGACCTACACGACGCGAACTTCCGGTCTGCTAAGGGAATGTGGTTAGAAAATAGTATTAAGGAATTCGTCAAAGGATTGGGTAATCCAAACTTAGTTATTGATCCGCCGAAGACAGCGTTTGATGATATTGCGGTAAGACCAAAAAGGAAGCAGGCAATATTCCTTTAAAGAAACCACTTTTTTACCGGATTGAAGTTATGTATTATTATAAACTTATAATTATTTTACATAATTAAAATTTTCGCGACGTTTCGCGTGCTTTCTTAAAGTGTGTAAAAGTTATGTTAATAAAAGACAATACTAATATTCCTTTACATCAGGAATGACTCGCTATAGTTGTACCACTTTAGCTGTCTTGGTCACATTTCCAAATAAATAACGATTTAGCGGGTCATGCCTTTCACAAAGTGTTTTTGACTCATTCTTAATTCCTAATTAAACTACGATCGTATAGTAAACAAGTGAAGTGCGCCAATTATTGTCCTAGAAGCGAAACTTCTTCAATTACTTTTACTGCCGGTGAAACAAAAAACTAATGATGGATGGAGCTTGTTTTTAATGACTTAATTCATATTTTACAATCTTAAATTAAACGAAACTAAATACTTTTATTTTTACATTATAGAATAGTTTTTTTTTTCAGTAAAATTTGAATAATAACTTCTTTATTTCAGCCTTACCTGAGTTGTGAAAAATCGCTCGATAGCAACCCGAAAATGTACACAGAAATCGAGAAATACTTAAACACCTCAGACTATCTCGTTGTAAGTATAATAACTACCATTATAAATAATTAAATATGTTCACAAATTGTTAACTTTAAATCAAACTATAAATAAAACGTGTGTGTACTTATGTACACGCGTTAGAAGTTATACTTCTTTGGAGTAACAAGATAAAAATCTTTTCAAAAAAAAAATCTACGTTTGTAGAAAAAACGACACTAACAATAGAAAAAACTAAAATGTTGACTATAACTAACTTTAGGATGTCGGGTTTTTTGTGACGGTGACCGCGCGCATCGTAAAAATTTACTCTCATAATTTTTCCTAACGCGCCAAAAGAAGTATAACTTCAAAAAGGTTCGTAGCGGACGCCGCTTGTCATAACAATATTAAATGTATTTGACCCGTAGGTAAAGGACCGAATACAACGTCGCACTGGAAAAGAAAAGCTGACCATCGACAATGTGTCTGCCTTGTACAATCTATGCCGCTACACATGGTCTGGCATTGACAGCACAACTAGTCCCTGGTGCGCACTTTTCACAAAGGACGACTTGCAAGTCCTGGAATACGAAGAAGACTTAAAGCATTACTACGAAAATGGTTATGGCCTATCTATAAACGAAATCTTCGGAGGTATGCCTTTAGCAGATTTGTGGCGGAATTTCGACAGAGTACGAAGCGGCGAGGGAAAGAAACTCGTTGCTTACGTCACTCACGCGAAAACCTTGGATCAAATTTATACAGCCTTAGGACTTTTTAATGATACGAATCCGAAAGCCGCGAGAAGAGATGCAGATAGAAAATGGCGGAGTAGTATTATGTCTGGTTATTCGGCGAACCTTGTTGCTGTATTAAACAAGTAAGTAAATAAAACTAACTCAAATATAAACTCATTTTTAATGTTGCTCAAATTCAAGCTAATTTTAGCAAACGATTTTTTAATGTAAATTGTTATAAAGGCAAATGGGCAGGAGCCTTAGGCCTGAAGTTAGGTGATACTGCCGCCCATGGTCACATTGCCAGAAGGCACTCAAGTGCGTACCAATTCGTAAAAGGCCGGCAGCCTTTTAAGAATTGGTACGCTTTTTCTTGAAGGACCCTAAGTCGAATTGGTTCGGAAATACTTTAGTGGGCAGCTGGTTCTACATAGTGGTGGTGCGCGGCAAAAACTGCCTTAAGAAACGCTCAGTTGTCAGACTACGGACGTCGAGGTAATACGATTTGTATTTTGTATTCTGCCTTGACGTCCGATAATGAAACTCAGCTGGAGGTAATTAGTGCGAACATCTCCTCTGAACACTTTTCATGGTACATGCGGTAGACGATGCTGAATGACAGACTACATTAACTTTGTGCTTTCATAAAGCAGCTTTTTGATAAGCTCTAATTGGATGTTTCTCATGAGTATTTAATTTGATGTGATAGTAAACTGAAAAGCACTCGAATCGTCAAGTTATGTAAATAACGTGAATTGGCGTTTATATTCGTTCATGAAGTTTTATTTAAAAGTCAGCGAGTATTTGATTTCGAACATAAACCAATTTCGGTAAAATTATTGTACATATAAACTGAGCTTTATTATGAATGAACAAATCGATCAGTCAACATTAACTTGGTGGTGAAAATGTAAAATGAAAGATGAGAGACGAAACATCACGTTCGAATGTTATTGGATGTTGTAATAACATGACGCATCATTTCGCCTGTCAACGTACGTTAGAAATTTAGACCAATCACAATCAAACGGAACGAACAACCGTTTCGTCTTTTGTTTTACTTTCTCACCAAGGGTGAATTACAAACGTGGGGTTTGCGTTTAAATACATATGTATATCGATAATGGTATCTTCATATCATATGATATACCGTTTATTTAAGTCACGTAATATATAACGTATTCAAGAATTCATGGCGCGTGTTACAAAATTAGCCAAATTCATTGAATTTTTGTAATCTACAGTACATAGATTATAAAATGATCTCAAATTTCATTAATTTAATTATTTTAATTATTCACAATATTATGTTAGAGCCGTGTTGGCCTGACTTTCGTCCCTGAGGTCGTAGGTTCGATCCCTGGTGGACTTTCTATGTGCGCATTTAACATTCGCTCGAACGGTGAATGAAAACATCGTGAGGAAACCGGCTTGCCTTAGACCCAAAGAGTCGACAGCGTTCGTCAGGCACAGACGGCTGATTACCTACTTGCCTATTAGATTATAAAATGATCATGTAACAGATACAGAAATCTGAGGTCCACCCCTAATAAGGTTGTAGCGCACTGATTTACTTTTATTTTTTAATAATAAGTAAATGTCATTTTACTATGAACAAAGTAAATAGCTGTGTGAAAATAACATCTATTTATCATTCAATTCACTTTAAATCCATCAATTGAACTAGTGCTATGCGAGATCAATGAGATTTACCATCTGAAGTGAATTTTTATTCTCTATTGTAAATGCACATTTATTTTAGTTATCTATTTTACCTGATCAACTGTTAATTCAATATGTATAATTGCAGTTTAAGCTGTTTATATATGGCTAGAACAGAATTATAATAAAACACTGATAAAACTACGAAACTTCTTAAAGTTGGTGTCTTGTATTATATAAATTAATCAAAATAGTACAGTATAGACTTTTGTTTATTATACGCATATGTTTATGTTTTACGCATGGAGGCCAAATTTCTAAAATCTAAACGTTTAATGACTTAGGTATATGAATGAAAGAGACGGCTTATTTACACATTGGTCCGTTTTTGCTAAGTTGCCATAAGCCCATTTAAAATTTTTATGTTTTTGGATGCTTTTAAGTCTTATAATATAAACGAATTATAACATTTTTAAGTCTGGGCCTCAGATTTCTGATTCTATTCCGTGATCATTTTTAAAAGGCCGTTGACCGTCTGACCGTCGGCTTTTGGGTCTAAGGTATGCCGGTTTCCTCACGGTGTTTTACCGTATAAGCGAGTGTTAAATGCGCACATAGACAGACACTCCATTGGTGTTCCGGGGATCGAACCTACGACCCTAGGGATGAGAGTCACAAGTTGAAGACACTAGGCTATAACTGGCCAAGACTTATAATACTACAAGTATTACTTACTAAGTTACTAATGTAGTTGGAATACAATTTGTTCATAACATGATGTGAGGATTTCATACAAAAAAATATTCTTGTTTGTATAAATAAATAAATTCTTATCTTTTTAGCTTCTTATTAAAGTTGCTTCGGTTGTTATTCTAAGACATTTTCATCATCGGACGTCGAGGCAGAATAAGTAATTCCACCCGTATTACCTCGATGTCCGTCATTCCACAACTGATGAAGAAGTATTTCTGAACCAATTCGACTTAAGGTCCTTCAATAAGAGCGTACCAATTATTATAAGGCCGGCAACGCACTCGCGATCCCTCTGGCATTGAGAGAGTCCATGGGCGGTACTTAACATCAAGGAGCCTCCTACAAGCTTGTCCCCAAATCTACAATAAAAACACATCTATCTATTCGTAGACACTATAGTCTAATCTGATCTATATCAGAGCCATTTTTAAACGAAAACGAAATAATAATTAATCTTTTTCAGGTGTACAAATGAGGTGGACGATTATAACATCGTATTTTACATGAACGAGGAGCCTATTAGATCAATCTGTGCCGATGGCGTATGTTCTTGGCTGGAGTTCGAGCACAAATTTAGGTCATTTGTTAATACAAATTTCGATTTTTGTCAATTTTTAAATTAGTTTACGTAACTGTTAATTGTGATATAATAAATTGATTTGAAATGCTTTCATTTATTTATTTAGGGGGCCTCATAGCCTAGCGGTCTTATTAAGTGGCAGCTAGGTGAGGGGTACAGGGTTCGATTCCCGGTTCGAGGGCAAGTTTTAATTTAAAAATTGTTCTCGGCCTTTGGGAGGGTTGTGCGGTACCGGGCGAGTGCTTAAACCGTACATAGAGGACGCTGTCGAATTTCTAAAAAAAAAGAAAAGCACGAATATAAAAAATCCTATACTTGACGCTGTCTAATGCACAAATCGTGCCAGAGCCATAAATAAAAAAAAAATAAAAATAAAAATATTTATTTAATTATTTATTCATGCTCAACGGTATTCCTACAGCTACTTACTAAACAATATTCAAACAATTACACTGTACACAAAAGCCAAAAACGGAATACACATTTAAACATACACAAAGCACAGTTTCACCTATACAAATACAAAAAATATACAAAGAATATATGTATTTATAATAAATTCTAAGTTCACAGATACTGATAAATAAATATTGGGATCGCTAATGACTTTTAAAAAACACGGAACGGATTAATTTACGAATGAATTTAAAATGTGAGTAAATCTAAACTCTTTTTGTATTTTTTTACGGACTATTACAACGTTCCGCAAAACTTCGAAACTGTTCCCAGTTGTTTAACAAAACGGGAATGAATTGTATTTAAAACGGACCTGTCAACTTTTACATTGAATTTGAACACGAATATTTATAATTGGATAATGTGCTGTCTAGCATAATCCAATTTAAAACTAAGTAGGTAATATGCAGTTTCTCATTCCTATATAAAAAAAATGCGTTTTTAAGGCAGTTTTTGCGCACCACCACTATGTAGAACCAGCTGTCGACTGAAGTATTTCCGAACCTATTCGACTTACTTAGACAGGAAAGTGCGTACCAATTCTTAAAAGGCCTGCAACGCACTCGCGAGCCCTCTGGCACTGTAGCACTTAACATCGTTGACGTTGGATCCGTGATTACCATACAGGCCGAAGTTGTGTGTTGTAAAGGTTGCTCGGGCCTTGGCAATGCTTAAAAAATACACTTTTAGTATCTCCTTATAACTGTGAACGACCGTCTAAGACATTATTACTATTAATTATTCATACAATGCCTGTTGTAACATCGATACGATCCACCAGCACTTTTGTAAAAACATTCTGTGTTATTTTTTTTACTTAAGCGTATCAATTTTATACCAAGTTTATATTTTAATATTTTCAGAGCTACTAATATTATATATAGCTTATTTTCTAATAATTTGATAACACGATGTACACAACTAACCTACCTCTCACTAAGTGAATGTAATTCTTTGATAAATAAAGTCTCTTTGAATTTAGCGGAAAATTGCAAATAAATGAAGGTAATATCACAACGCAGACAAAGTGACTGTAATAAAATTGAATGTCAACAAAATAACTGAATTGAGACCGCTAAGTAATGAAGTTGGGTTTGTTAAGCTGCGGTGTTTGCACGTCAACCTGCGAAGCCTGTGGCGTGAAGTTGTTCTAACATTCCTACACAGAGTCAGTTATTAAAATATATCTTATTAATTATGTGTTTTACGGAACTTGCAACTCAGCAACGATATTTAATGCACAACTGGTGAAGTTGCAACTTACAACTTATCAGATTTTGTATTTAATAAAATAACTTGTGTTTGCGTGTTGTTCCCACGAGAATGTAAGTGCGTGCTCCTATTTCACCATGCCTCCTGCTGATAGGGGACAAGTCTTTGTTTTTATTTATGTTATTATTATTAATTACTTAAAATGTCATGTGGAACATGGTGTAATGGTTGCAGCTCCTTACAAACGTTGTGTAAAAAAAAAAAAAAAACATGGCGATTAAAAAGAGTGGCGGAGAGTTTATTGCCAGTTCTTCTCTTCCGTTCTACGCCCTTGATTTGAGAACTGGCAGTAAATGTAAAATTAGAAGCATTAATATTTATTTCTTTAATGACGAATCACAAGTGTACATTGTGTTACCTACGTGAATAAATGATTTTTGAATTTGAATTTGAATTTGAACTTATAATTATTAAAAATCCTCAAATAATCATTTAAGAAAAGAGCGTACCAATTCTTAAAATGCTACCAGCGCGCTTGCAAGCCTTGTGGCCTTGTGAGTGTGTCCATGGGCGGCGGTATCACTTAACATCAGATGAAGACTCACCTAATGTATATGTGTTTTTGTCCTGTAACAGAGACAAAAATGTGATTTCCATATCATTTACAGTGTAAATATTATTTATAGTTGATAGCAATGCATTGGTACTACCATTATTATATAAGTATAGCTAATTGTATGTAAAAATATAAAAATGAGTAAGATGCACTTCCAAGTAATGTGCATTTTTAATAAGGCGCCAATAAAGAATATTGGAGTATGCCAAAAGGCTATGGAGCGTTCTATCCTTCGGTTGAAAATTAAAGACAGTGTACGATACGAAGCTTTACAAAAATAACAGAATAGTAAAAAAGTTTACGGTGGAAATGGGCCGGTCACATTGCCCAATGCCCGCGTTTGTGATGACAGGTGGGTCATAAAAGACCCTTACTTGGAATGTCCCAGTGGAAAGAAGAAAGAGAGGACCCATGACAAACCTGGGAAGATGAAATAAAAGAGATAGCTGGAATAGATTGTAAAATAGTAGCGAAGATGAGAGACAAATGAAATTGGACATTCACTCTGTCGGAGGTCTTGTACTAATATTAAATATAATAACATAAACTTAATGTAATCTATATGTTTAGTCATATATTTATTAATTCCTTCAACAACAATAACTATAATTTTGTCGCTGACATATCGTAATTTACTTGGCATCGAATCTAAACTCGGTATATTTCCTTAAACCGTTTAGAACATCTGTTAGCAATGTCTCGGACCATTAATGCATGTCTCAAAGGATTGTCTGCAGCGGAACTTGGATAACGCAAAGTATGATTATAGCGGAGTTTCAAAGCACTTAATTAATAGTTTTATAGAACTTACTTTGTTCAATGCAACATTTCATTGACTTTGATTCTGTTTATTAGCAACACTGTTTATCGTGATTTGTTTTTGTTTCTGTTAATTCTTTGTGGGTTTTAGATAGACTATATACTGTGACTATTGACCGATATTTTTAAATAATCTAACCTTCTTTGAAGTAGATAAGATAGCCAGTATTAACATCAATATGAGTGTCTATCGGCAGAGGTATCACTTAACATCAGATCAGTGTTGGCCTAGTGGCTTCAGCGTGCGACTCTCATCCCTGAGGTCGTAGGTTCAATCCCCGGCTGTGCACCAATGGACTTTCTTTCTATGTGCACATTTAACATTCGCTTGAACGGTGAAGGAAAACATCGTGAGGAAACTGGCTTGCCTTAGACCCAAAAAGTCGACGTCATTCGTCAGGTACAGAACGCTGATCACCTACTTGCCTATTACAGAAATCTGAGGCCCAGACCTAATAACTCTCATGACTCTCAGGTCGAGGGTAGTTATATTATACAGTCGCAGCCGCAGACTAGCTTAATTAGCCGTTTAATAAACAGCCTAGCCTCTTTACTAAACAGCGCCGATTAACTGCATTCAGCCATTTGATCAAACAGCTAGGCAAATATTAAATAACTTGAATCGATGACGTTTCATTACTTGCCTAGCCTTTTCATTTCAATTTAGTTCCATTTTCTGCTACCTAACAAGGAAACATTCCATACTGTCAATATGGCGTCGCTCATGATTTCCAAAGAACATAATATGTTACATTTGAAATATATTAAACTAGCTGACCCGGCAAACGTTGTTTTGCCATGTATATTATTTCTAGGAAACAGTTTTTTATTTCAAGAAAAATAACTATCTACTATAATTAAAATAGGGGTTGATCGTAGAGGGGTGAAAATTAGGTGTTGTATGTATCATAAAAAAATAAAAACAAGTTTTTTGGGGTGGACACCTTATCACTTAGAGGTTTGAAAGATAGATAGTGGCCGATTCTCAGACTTACTAAATATGCATAAAAAATTTCATAAGAATCTGTCGAGCCGTTTCGGAGGAGTATGGGAACGAACATTGTGACACGAGAATTTTATATATTAGACAGAGATTTTTTTATATCAGATATTTCATCTTGTTTATTTCTGTCACATGATCATCCTATCGTACGAATGGTCTAAGCATTAGACAGTTTGATCTTTTTAAATTTATAGTTTTATAAATATATAATATAAGCTAAGAGCTTCATGTGTTCCTCCGAGACCCGATATTCAAACTGCTAACTTCCTAAAAGGCAATCTTTGATTTAATCAATAATCAATCTTTTGATATCAATCTACTAAATAAGCGGCTAGGCCGGTTACCCATTCGTCAGCGACGCGATGCTCATGTTCTCCATCTCTTATATTCCACCCTGTTCAACCCTAAAACTCCTTCCTATCTCAAAAATGACTTCAAATTTTTGGGATTCCATAACTATAACTATAGCTTACGCTCTTCCGAAAACTATATCCTTGAAATCTCGTGTCATAACTCCTCCTTTCTTGGCGAGTTCTTTAAGGTCTCTGCAGTTAGGCTATGGAATTCACTTCCAGTCCCTATTCGCTTAGCTCCTTCTCTATCTTCCTTTAAATTTCTTCTGTACAAAAATTACCTGTCCACATCGTATCCCTAACTTTAATAATACCTACTAACTGACGTGAGACTGATCTTAAATTAAATTACAATGATTCATGTGCACTTTTTATCATTAGTAATTAATATTTTCTTTAATGTATCCTTTATGGTAGGGGAGCCCAAGCGGGGATTTCGGGATTTACTAAAGCGTGGCAGATTAATATACAGGGGATACCTTGTACCCGGTTAAGTACCTCCACAAAACATGAGGCCCATATATAAGGCCGCCCGTGAAGGATACAGGATCAGATTAGTAAAAAAAAATTGACCATCAGAAATT